GCCAGCGCCCGCGCCCGCTCGCGTCCGCACCGTCGTTCCGGCGCCGGCAGAACCTAAAATCGAGTCGGGTCGGGTCTGGGTTCAGATTTCCGACCTGTTTGTCTACCCGGGTCGGGTTAGGGTCGACCCGTTTAACCCGGGTCAGTTCCGGATTTGATCCGAACCCGACCTATGACCCAAAATTGACACCCCTAATTATGAGCTATGTTGTTGTTGGCTTTCATGTGCCATTAATATTTTAGGAGATGTACTTACATAATACTTAAGTTATTATATTTATATATTTAATGACTTAAATTTACTATTTACCAATATAATACTTAATTCTAAAATAATATAAAAAATAATGCCTCCTCACCCACTTTGTTATGATATCATTATTGAATTCCTTATCTTTCACATTCCATTCATCTCATCGTTTTGATTCATCTAAATCCAGTTTGACAAAAAGGCTCACGGAAGTTTTACATGTAAAACCCAAATTTTGACGATCATAGACGTCGCATGCATTTCGATGCGTCGCGAAGAAATTTAAGTGAAAATTTAAAGTTAACGGATTTCGATGAAATTAATTTTATAAAGTTTTACGTAAATTTCTGATTGATTTGATAAGTAAAACCTATATCTAATGTTTCTTAATTTAGAAATAAAAACTAATAGAAGTCTCTAAATATCTAGAATACCCTTAAAGATTATTGAAGCATGGATTGTTTAAGTGAGGGCATAGAGGTCTTTTGACAATACCCATCTCCCTAAAATGTCAAAATCGAAACCCTCCCCCATTCATACGTTTTGTTCGGCCAAACTGAGAGAGGAGTGGACGGCTAGGGGCGACGAGCGGGCGACAGACACATCTCCGACGACATATTTCCGGCAAAAACATTAGTGCAAATCGAAGAGGAAGAAAAGGGGAATATTAAGGCATGTTTTATTTTGGAAAGAAATTTTAAGGGCTTTTCCAAAAAAAAAAATGATTTTCTTCCAAATTTCTTTCATGAAATCAATAGAGAATGTTTAGGGAAGTATTTTAACAATAGAAATGAAGTTTTCTTCAAGAATTATTTAAAATTGAATATTAGGGTTTTTACCTAAAATTGAAATCCCTTAAGGCGCATTTACAAAAATGATTTATATGGGTCCTAGGAATGTTTCTAAAGCAAAATTTTAAGTTTTTGTAAGAATTTATATTTTTCATAATTTTCTTATTTAATAAATCCGAAAATGATTAACGTAATTATTAAAATATGATTAGGGAAAATTTGGCGTATTAATTTGATAAAATTGATGATTTAAGGTTTCTAAAAATTTAGAATTTTAATAAATTCAAAAATTAAGATAAGATTATGTAAATTTCATTAAGTGTCGTAAGGGTCGATTTAGACAATTTGGAATAATTTGGAATTTGATTAAAACCTTAAGGAAGATTTATTATGACACGTCTTTTTATGTGATTATTAGGTTGTGATCTTTAAGAAGAGTGAAGCGTGTCAAAGCGACACTAAGGAAGTGATGTGCTTGGATTAAGGTAGGTAATCATATCCATTGTAAAAATTTCATATTTATACTTTATTCTTTTATTTCAATGCAAATCTTTAAAATTTTCAAATTATATGGTTCACAAATATTATTTTGAATAGCATGTTAAAGTCTTTTTATTTTATGATGTTAGCGAGCTTTCATGTTATGGTTTAAATTCATAGTTTTCATGTTTTAAGTAAATGATAATTGAATTATGATTATTTTTCTTTAAGTATATGATTGACTGAAAAGTGAATATGAAACTATGTATGTTGATGCGGAGTATCCAAAATGATAAATGAGCTAAATAGAGCCAAATGATAAATGAGGCTCATCAGAGCCAAATGATAAAGGGATGGCCAATTGAATGAAAATGAGTACCTGATCAGTACAAATTTTGTGGGCACCTCCGAGACGGGTGATATAGTAAACATTATGCTTATTATGTTTTATGTATATTTTCTAAACAAAATGAAAGTTAATGTTTGAGGAAAGATTATATGAAATATTTATGATTGAGAAAAATTTATGAAAATATTTCTTACATATAAATGTTATGAATTTATGCAATATTGACCATCGTTTAAAGTTTTCTTATGAAATAGAAATTTTATTTTAGTTTTATATAAATTTTTATGAGAAATATGAATTACCTGCTAAGTGAATAAGCTCACCCATTCTTGTGGGAATCTTTTTCAGGAGAATCATCTAAGAAGTGATGGCAGCGATATGACAGTACACCTACCATCGTAGAGGACCTCAGAAAGAAAGGTTTTATATTTTATATTATATGTATCGAGTTAGTGGATTGTAATTGAGGAGTCTGTTGGAGTTTATGTTGATGTTTATGTTCATGTTTTTAGTGGTTTGAGAATATTATTAGAAACTTTCAGCTTGTTGGATTAGTGGCACTTTTATGTCATTTTGGAATGAAATTTATTTTATGTTTATGTTGGTTAAATGTTAAAATTTTACTGCTTATCATACGACTTTCTATTCCCGCCCCGTTAATTCGGGCTAGCCGGGCCGGGTCGTGAATTTCTTTATATCAAATTTTTTAATTAATTCAAGAGTATATTTTGTTTGGCTGATGAAGGTACCATTTTCAAGCCATATAAGATTTCTTCACTTGAAGCTTGATGTTCATCTTAAATAGTTTAAAGTCTTTAAAAGATGCAAAAGCCAGAAGTAACCTAATAGACTCTAGTCTTGCTACCGATGCAAAGGATTCCTCAAAATCTATCCCCTCAATCATTGTATACCCCTATATAACTAACCTAACTTATTTCTAACAATCACACCTGAATCATCTAACTTATTGTTATAGACCCATTTAGTTCCAATAATATTCTAATCATCGGGCCTTGGGGCTATTCACAAATATCATTTCATACAAATTGATTAAATGTTTTTTCTATAAAAATTATCTTGAAGCTATCAGAAAGAGCTTCCTCAACATTTTAGGCTCAATAGTGGAAAGAAAAGCATTATGATTAACATCTTCCCTATAATGCTTCCTAGTCATTACACATTTGGATGGGTCTCGTATAATCAAATCTTTTGGATGACTCTTCTTATATATCCATTCTTTTGGAAACTAGCATTCACATGTTCTTTCAAATTAATATATTTTTTTTTTAATTTGATGTTTTCTGACTCTTCCTCAACAACTACATCTTTCCTCAAATCCACCAAATTTTCATCAATGATCACATGGACTGATTCCTCAACAATCATTTTTCTTTTATTAAGTTCTTCCAAAAATGGAATATCCAAGAAAAATATCATCATCATATTTAGAATCAAATTTTCCAAGATTGTCTTTTCCATTATTCAACATAAAACATTTACATCCCAAGAAATGGAAATAGTGAGTTTTAGGCTTCTTCTAAAAATAATAATAATTCATAAAGATAGGTGCAAAATATCTCTATTCATCACATAACAAACAGTATTGACTACATCTACCCAAAAATACTTAGGAAGATCATATTCATCCAACATAGATCTACTAAGTTCAATGAATCCAAAATATTTTCTTTTTACAACTCCATTTTGATGCGGAATCCTAGGTGCTAAAAAATTATGCATGATTCTTAACTCATTACAAAATTTCTCAAAAGATTTATTTTTAAATTATCCACCATTTTCTCCCTCTCTTCGACCATTTTCTCTCTCTATCTCTCCATGGTGCACATTTAGAAGTGTATTATTTGCTCTCTTTGGTTTAATTTAGTTTGACGTTATGCTTGATTGAGAAATATTATGCTTTATACCATTGCAACAATTAAAAAATGTATTGAGGGATTTTGCCTAGCTATGTAGTTTTGGCTTCCATTTACCATTAATTTTTTGAGAAATTTACTTAAATAATACTTAAATTATTATATTTATATATTTAATATCTAAAATTTGCTATTTACTCATTTAACACTTAATTTTAAAATAACATAAAAAATAACACCTCACCCACTTTGTTACAATATCATAAGAAAATTTTGAGTATTATGCATTTAAATCACTCTAAATTAATTTATATCCATCTATTTAATTTAATTCTTACTATTTGTAAATTGGTTGCTTAATTCATTCAAATTCAATAAAATAGCCACATTTATTTACTTTATTAAATTTGCTCGTAACTTTTACCTCTCAATTAAAAAAATATTAAGTGCAGATAATGCACATAGCTCTAAATGCAAGGCCAATATTAATACCACAAATATTCTCAGACCTAAACTCATTATACGCTTTGACGCGAGATAAAAATGCCCGTGCAAAATAAAAAGAAGTGAGTTTTATGTCCTCACAAGAAAATCTAATTGTTTCGAGAGCTCTAGTTGCCATTGAAGAATTTTATAGCTTAATTTATATTCTCTTGTTCTTAATCTAGTTTCTCTTTCAATTGCAATTATCCTTTCATAAAAAAATTA